TCTCATAATATATATAAATCCCACATTCAAAGGCTGTTAAATCACGTTTTTTTACCCATATCTTCAGAAAAAAATCACTTCTACTGCTGTAGGTAAACAACCTGCTTCCCTATTTATAATGGTCTGGCCCTCACAACTTCAGCGTGAAACTATAGCTAATTTGTCTACAAACGTCATAATAATCTTGCCACCCAGTGTACAGTGAGGCTTTGATTTAGGAGTTTAATTGGTTCCGAGACCGAGCTCATTAAGGAGCTCATTAACTCAAATTACTCTGTCAACTCAATGCAAAAAATCGGCTGAGAGACAGCTGGTATCACTCGTAAGTCAAGGCCCCACTGTATATCTGAATTTATATGTGTTATTCGCTTGCCAACTTATTGTTTTCCTATAGTCACCTTCTATTTTCCAATTACCAGCATTCTATTGCCCATGCAAGTGGTCAAGTTAGAAAGTCACTTTACTTTTAACATGCTAAAAAACACATGATTCAAAAATTTTGTTTACAAGTATTAATACCAATGTTCAATGAGCTTTTTAAAATAGCATAACAAGAAACCTATATGACGTTATTAACCAATGTCATCCCAATAAATATCATAAACTAAAAAAAGAAACAAAATAGCATAACAAAAATGATTCTAAAATTAGAACAAGAGTAAATGTATTACAAAACAAATTTAATAGAGAACATCAACATGAACTAATTAGATATTAGAACTTACTGCAGAGTAATATTAATCAAAGAAGAAGAATAAAAAGTGTAAAAATGAATACAGAGAATGGAACACTCCAAGGAGCTCAGAAATAGATCCAACTATTTCCATAATATAAGCAATTTTTCAAAATTACAGAAGAGAAAAATATTAAATGGCAAGAATTATGATAACTTGATTAAATACTGTGAAAAAGATGAACTGAAATCAAATAACGCACAATACACTAAAATTAACTCCAGATGGATTGGTGTGTTCTTTTGTTTTAAGAAACAGACAATTTGTTAGAAAAATAAGAGTAGAGCTCTTACCACCCTGTAGCAGTTTGGTGATGCCAGCCGGGCCAATTTCATGCTCACGGCATGTTTACAGTTTGGCTCCCCATGCAAATTTGTGTTCAGGAAGAGAAGGGGCTGCCCACTCCCTTAATAAATGTGAGTGCCAGGCCCCATGCTAGCCACTTAGTTGAACAATATGATGAGGAAACAAATATCAATGATATCCTCCCCTCGCTGAGTGACAGAGAGAAACATTGTCTCCTCCTGAATGAATGCAGTGGTGGTTCATTGTCCATCCACCTGGTCAGGTGAGGCTGCACCTGAGGCATGTCCGCACAGCGTCCCATGGCGAGGCCCCCCTGCACATCAACACCCCCTCCTCACTGTCTTCAGCAGGCCCAGGGTGAGGAGAGCTACCTGCTTTTATTTTGATATCATTTAACATTAAATATCAACTAGTTGCCAACCTAAGTTCTTTTTAATGTGAAACTGAAAGTCCACACCAGTGCTTCAATATATCAAACAATGCAAGTGGCACATTTTTATTAGAGCATTTATTAACCACAGTATTCCTTCTGGTTATTGATTTAAAAATCTCCCTCTGCATGGTGCTTTCACTAAGAATTATGCATTACTTAATGTCATCTGAAATTTACCTATTGCAACCTCTGCTGCCTGGCTACCCAGCCATGAGCCTTCCTTTTGCAGCATGTTTGGCTATATGTGAGTCATGAACAGACATGAAAACCTAAATGCCCAGGATTGAAACCTTACGCCAACATTTTCTGGCTATGCAACCTTGAGCCAGTTACTTAACCACTCCATGCCTCAGTTTTCTCATCTTCAAAATGAGAATTAAATGAATTACCATAGGACACAGGCACCAGGGGGGTGAGGGCATGAGTGGGGGTTGGGGGGCAATGGGAGGATAAGGGCACATATGTAATACCTTAATCAACAAAGAAAAAATGAGTTGCCACACGTAAAGCACTAAAAATAGCATCTGTCACACAGCAAATTCCATGTAATATTTTCCAATATTTTGACTATTAATTGTTTTCTTCAAATTCAGTCAATATACTCTTCTACGTGAATTGAACCATTAACTGTGGTTCAATATAAAGCAACCGAGGTACATGCCCTTGACTGGGAATCCAACCCACAACCCTTCAGTCTGCGGGCCCACCTTCTAACCACTGAGCCAAACTGGCCAGGGCTCAACTACTTTTTTTAACCATGAATTGTATTTGTTTAATGGAGACTTTCCAAAGTCTTAAAGTAATTGAGTCACTATTATCAAAACACATTTTATTGAGGAAATTATTCTTTCTTTAGAAAAAAAAGTATTTCTAGGTTTATGTATGAATAGAAAAGAGACTGAAAAGACAGACACCAAAATGGCGTAGGATTTTGGATAATGTTCCTTTTGCTCAGTTTGCATATGTTTAATGTCATTCTTTGTGTTCAATTCGCATGCTTACAACATTTCCATGAGTATGTCTTGTTTTTATAAAGAGGAAAACAGTTGTTTAAAATACAGTCCTTCTCAAAGAATGAGTTTGACAGAATAATTTCACTCTTTAATCTACAAAGGAAAGTCAGCTTTACCTACAGCCATGAACATAACCTCAAAAATGTCCCTGTCTCTTCTCCAGTAATAGAACCCGCGCTTCACAGACCGTCCTCTCCTTCCCTCTTCTACCAGGCCCTTCCCTTAGCGTCTTAGCCCGGGTGCCCCTCGCAGCAGAATCTGGGGACAGGAGTACAGGTGCTCAGACTTTATCTGGGAGGAGCAAGCCCAGGAAATTGAGGATAAAGGGAAGGAGGAAATGTGGGAGGGAGAGAGAGATGGGCTGGGGAGATATGAAACTGGACAACATAAAACAATGTGATCCTAATCCTAGGTTACTGTGCTGCTCACAGTTCACAGGCCACATAGAGACAGGACTGCAAGGAAGACCTGCACCTCAGTAGAGTCCATAGAACGAGAAAGGAGAAAGGAGGAAGGATTTATCTGCCCAGTTGCTTCCTGTCTCTTGTTCCCCATTGATCAAGGTTCACTCCACGAAGAACTCACTCCCTTCTACTTGAATGTGTTATTAATCCTTGTAAATACCCTTGTTCTTTTTTAGGGTGTGTTATTTTTATTGTATACAATTTTACTGGTGTAAAATTCACCATTTTAAAATAATACAGTTCAGTGTTTGGGGTATATTCATAATATTGTGCAACCATCACCTAGTCCAGAATGTTCCCATCACCTCCAAAATAAAATGTGGCGCCCATT